ATTTCGGAGAAATGTGAAGCTCGTTGCCTAGCGCACGATCCAGGTTTTGATCCCTCGGCCTGTGCTTGCACTGAGCACCGTCAAATCCTACTGAACCGCCCTCGCCCCTGCCCTATAGATGTCAGTAAAATGTCGTCATCAAAAACAGAAGAGTACGTGCCTAAAAAGTATGCGAAAAAATAGAGAAATGAGAAAAGCGAAAGGTATCGGACAAAGAAAAGTTCGAGGGAGTGCTGATCGAAATCTATCTTCAACTATGAGTTCTCCGCGATTCCTCAACGGCAGTGCCTGGTCCTCTCTGATCCAGCACGATCCCCTTCTTCTTCCCAACTCGGCTGCGTTCACCCACCATCTGTTCTTTTGTTGGCTAAGGTCACCATGTTCAACATTTCTCCGCGGAGTCGTTATCTGCCTCTCGACCATATATTTTAATTCAAAGTGGTTGTAAGCGCGTTACGAGTTATTCTGGCGATTAGCATAACTAGCCGATTTACAATGTTACCGCTCTGCCCCTCGCACTGCTGTCAACCCGATCGCGCCTTGGCATACGGTAGTGGTCATTCCTCAAACCACTACATGTCTTTTCTCGCAACTACTTCAAGGATAACGTTTGACAAATTTCTCATTTGGAGAGTGGTCTAGTGGATAGCACAATGACTGGTGCTTCCAAGATGGCAAAAAGATGCTTGGCTATCTCCTAAGCGTATTTTTAAGTGGATAAACCCCTAGCGGTCCTGCTCTTATTTGCAAATAGCAGTGGATGATAATAGGATTGCTGGGCCTTTGCGTCGGCCGCTTTGCCTCTGCAACGACAGGAAGGTCGATACGATTGGTGAATAGGGACCCGTTTCAGAACCAGCTAAGTGCCAAGGAATTCCGCATACTTCGTGATGGTTTAGAGATGTGGAATTGAGCTTAAAGAATATTCGAGATTAGTGAGCCTTCTGAATAAACTCTGATATCTCGGTTTTTCGATTTTTTAATAATCGAGAAGAGGTCACGGTTGGTCCTATCTTGAACTTCTGCAAATTTTAGCGACCTCCCTCCCTTCACGATAGATTTCAATATCGCCCCTCTTCACAACTCTCTTTTTTCCTCAAAAAACACCGTCGAGCGGGGGGGGAGGGGGATATACGCACGCTGAAACGCAAATTTTCTCCCGCGCGCTCTCACCTCATTACATGTAATTTCGTGCTACCGAAACAAGTACGACCCCCCCCCACCACAAACTTCAACAAACTACGACCCCCCGTTGGTACTTGTCCCAACGTAGGGTTGACCCTGGTAATCGTCGCAACATGTAACTTAGTGTTACTCCGCATAATCTACTACGCACAGTAACGGTCAGTTGTCTACCGCAACATTTTCGCGTCAATTAGGCAATTAAGTTAGCTATTCAAAATTAGCGAGTTAGGTAGAACAAGCAGTGTTTATCTCGCGGTAATGATAGGAAAATTTATGCTAATTCTCGGCCGTCTTTTTGTTTATCTACTTATTTTTTCAGTGCACACAGGGTGCGCCCATAAACCAGCCAGTAATTGAGAAAGCAATAATTCAGGAAAAAAACCCAAATAATGCAAAGGAGAAAAAAAATAAACGTGACGGTAATCGAAAAGTCCATCTACGGCATAATACAGGCTCTTTTGGGAGTGCGTGGCGAGATTAGGAAAAGAGGGGAAGATGGAGGGGGGCAGTCCTGCTGTAGTACTTTCGCCAACTGGAACTGCTGCTCAGCCTACGGGTAGCCTAATAATAAAATGTTAGCTCTCAAATTGGCTGTATGTACCAGTGGACGCTAGAAGCTTAGTGGATACTTGAGAAGCTGCTGAGGAAGCGCTACACAACACTCAATCACCCCTACGTAAGGGCTAACTGATTACCGTGATCAGTATCCAGGAAAAAAGACAAGAGAGAGGCAGATCGGTCGGCTGTGTCATAAGTCCCATAGAAATCCATGTCGTGACCGTACTTGCGTGACGCGTCGCAGCAGCTTGAACGACAGACCGGTTTCTTGGCAATGTCGACCGCGTAGTCCACCTGACACTCCGTAGCTGTACATCGTAAATTGGTAAGGTGAATCGGACAACTGGGTAGTAAATCGTGTGAAGTATTTTCCTATCTCGGAAAACTTCAAAATAACTTCAAAATCAGTCCCGTAGCAAAGGCTGTGCAGCCGTAGAAGTAGAAGCCTTAGAAGTTGGTCAAGGTTGATCCCATCAAATCTATAAATTGGATCCACTGCGGCCATACCCTGTGCCCACCTGCGCCTCTGTCGGTAGTATTCAAGATACACACAGCAACAGGCAAGTCGCCCAAGTGTTGCTTCTCGGACCTTTGCAAAGCTATAATACCAAAAATGGTATCATTTTAAGCTTGCTGCCCGTCGAATCGCCACTTTATTGGATACATATCGCCAATGAATTTTGAATTTGAGTCACGAAATACAATACAAATATTTTGAACTTCGCATTACATTCAGATGTGCATTCCATACATTTCACTGTTTTCGAGCATCGCAAACTGGGGATCATACGGTAACAACAGCAGTTAAACGTTGAGAGAAGGAAGCTGATTCTAGGATATGCCAAGCGCTCGAGTTCCGTTCTGAGTTGTGGAAACTCAACGCGTCTGACTAACCATACCATTTTCGGGGCCAACCAATGTCCAGGGTGGCCATAAATCACGGTAACAAAACCAACTGGTTGTAAAAGATAGTGCAGCTCAATGCATACGTGTCACAACATCCCATCACATGACAGCTGTCGTCCCGATCAGAAAAGAGTGCTATGTATTGTACACGTCAAAGTGGCCGTGTCAACAATGACAAAGAGCAAATTGTTGTAGCGGGGGAGGGGGGGGGGGTAAGTTCACAGGCCGTGGCGTTTTATAAGGATAGCCTGCTTGGGATAGTCTGTGCTTCAAGGTCTCTGGAGCAATCTCGCCAGGCTTATCTACTTCTTAACGCCGCGCTTGGAGCAGAATATGTACATGGTGGTCCACTTCAAGCAGAGAAACAACAAGTGATACCATCAGCCAATCGAGGCTGTATCTTCTTGCACCACTGAGCCTTTACCTCAGGCCGCATCAGTTACCATCGGCTTTCGATACTGCTCTAATGGTCGCGAGTTGTGGAGCATCCAAGCTCTGGTCGCCGCCGCTAGCAAACCCGCACTAGACCGTTCGATCGTGACTATCCCATGATCTATCGAATACTTTCAAGTTTTCCCCAATCTAACAATGATCTTTCACTCAAAATGCGCTTAAGTTCTCCATTCAGAGTACAAACGATTCAACACTAAGTTTATTGATTCAAAGCAGCTCGCCCTCAATTTCCTATTAATATTGCAACTTGACAAATCACAGTAGCCTTTCCTAAATGACGTTCGATCAAATGTTGTAGCTACCTAGCAGGCTGTGAAGCACCATAGACCCCTTGAAGCATAAACAAATGCTTGCTTGATAAGCATTTAAGAGCTTAGTCAAAATGAATTTATCGCATGTTACATTATATTTCATGGAATAAGCATTGAAACAGCAGTAACAAGCACTGGAGCATGCATACATCGAGATTTTCATCCCGCAAGTTCTGACCACCCTGTACACACGGTTTGGGATTTGCTAACCCTCCTGGGCCGTAAGTATCCTCCCCGAAGGGGTGGACACGAAATCCCTTAAATTTTCTCTGTCGTCCCAACTGGGATTGTCCTGATAAAGGGCTTAGGGAGGGAAAATTCTAACGTGAAAAATTTGACCACTGAGGTATGAGAGCCTCGGGTAGCCTAGACTTGATGAGGTCCAGGGTACCGCCACTATAGTACCTGCGCTTGATGTTTCGTTTGAAGGCAGTCAGTTATTTCAAAAACTCCCATTACTATGACTACAGCTCGTGAGCCGATGGTTGGCCCGCGCTATAGCTCAAAAACTTAAATGTTGCCGTAGCCCTATTGGAGTTAGCGTCGATAGTAACCATTTCGAGTGTCACCAGTGTAGTTCACCAATGACCTTCCCCTTCAGAAGCGCTTTGTCCTAAAGGGGCCGATTAGTACCAATCGTTAGTTGGACTTGAAGGGGGACTTGTTTCCGTTCAAGAAGCACTTTGTGATACGAATAGAATCACATTGAACTAAACAGTTTCTACGATGCTAAACAGATAACTGTTACAGCGGAACCGGTCCAGATCAAGCAGGCCTGGCCAGATCGTATTGAAATCATAATACCGTACCCACCAACGTCACACTTGCTTTGAAGAAACTCTTAATGTGCCATAAGCATGTGTCTTTTACTTCTCACCGCTCTTTTGAAACGACATCAAATCCGGTGCTCTACCGTATACCGTATTTTTTATCGATTTTTATTGATCGACCGATATGTTGGTGATGCCGATGAAAAGAGATGCCGACACAACACAAATTGCTATTCAATCAATGGAATCAATCACAAAGGGAAATTCGAATCGCCTGCTCCGCTCGTCAAAAGACTCGTTTTCCACCGCGCACGGACATTATCGCAGTAGCACCTGGTTGGCGATGGTACGGTAGCATAGGTGGTGGTGGTGGGGAAGAACTGATTGCGAGTAGCGCAATCGCCACCCAAGCTGGTTGGGTTCGATATTGATGACTTTGAGAAATCTCCTTGTCGACAGATGGCCAAAGTTGGGCAAAATCACCGCTCCCCTCTCTGGGGACCACCATAAGGTCTGGTGAATCATCCGCCAGCGTTTCGTCATCACAAATCGCTACAGCTTCTGCCGTTTCACACGGTAGCTAGTGAAAGCTAGTCACCTCCATACCAACCCCCCGACTAACTCTGAGTTTGGAAAGATTTAGCGTAAAAACTGACATCAGAATTCGTTGAGAGGCTGTTACTGGGAAGCGTAGAATACAAATGTGATGGACAGCCTGCAAAGCAATGCTTCGTCTGAGCTCTCTTCTTGAAAAAGCCGTCGAAATCAAATTTTCTAACCTTCCTGCTGACTAGGTTAGCGACTAATTGAAAGAGAAAGAAAGGAGGTGGGACCCTATTTAGGGCGGTCGTCGCACCATTTTGAAGAGGCCGTTTTCTTGGAATTTCCATGGGAATCCCAACTTTAGTCTCTGTGGGAGGTAGAAACTAAGCTCCCCATGAGCATCGTGGGTGTACGATTATTAGAGCAAACACTTACCAGGAAAGGCATTCAACTTCCCATGGAACTTTGAGATGAGACCCAGATATATCGATAGAGCTTCAAACGCTGATTACAAATATGGAAACTAAAACTGCAAAATGAACCTGCCAAGGAAGTTGTGAGCAGTCAAAGTTGGCTGGAAGTAAAGCATCACACTAGCCTCCGGGCTTTCATAGTCACCGCGGAGCAGTGGTGGTGCCCTCGCTATTCACCCTGGAGGTCATAAGCTCTCCTCCCGTCAGAGCGCAAATTCCGAGAGCACTACCACTACTCCACGACGACTTTGAAAGCCCGGAAGGCTAGTGTAATGCTTTACTTCCAGCCAACTTTGACTGCTCACAACTTCCTTGGCAGGTTCATTTTGCAGTTTTAGTTTCCATATTTGTAATCAGCGTTTGAAGCTCTATCGATATATCTGGGTCTCATCTCAAAGTTCCATGGGAAGTTGAATGCCTTTCCTGGTTAGTGAAATGCGATTAATTATTGATTAAACAAATCAGTTAATTTTGAAGCCATTTCCTGGTAACGCCTAGCCACCCATTGTAGTAGATACACTGAAGCTGTGTTCTACCTTCCCAATCATCTGCTCCCCACGCCCACGATTGCCCGGGGAACGGCGAGGCCGGGGCGCCCCCAAGAGCGTTTTTCTGTAGCAATCATCCCACGTCACATATGTTTTCGGGCTCACGGCTCAACCAGGGCTTTGATACACTCGGCCACGCTGAATCCCACTCAGACGATCTATCCTGACTCTGTTGCTGGAGGGATACGTATCGCATGACTCCAGACTTCTGAGGGGGTTCAACTATGAGTCCCTGAGAGCCGAGACCGACATCGAGACTAATCCTCATACCTTACATGACACAAAGCTGGAGGCTGTACCTCCGACGACAAAAAGATTCTCCTGAACCGAAAAAATGACGCGTTAATGAAACTTTTGAACTGCAACTTTTTGCTTACTTTCACTTTCCGCGCAAATCCAAGACCATTTTTTGGGGAAACAATCGAGCGCAAGTTTCGAATCTGTGAGTGAAAGGTTTGGACTTTCTTAGAAACGAAGGCACAGTATCATGTTAAGTCCGAAAAACATACTGCTTGAATTCCCTGCTCCTGCGTCAGGGGAGGTTGCTGTAATCTCAATATTTACAAGTACTTATTCAGAGAACTAAATTGCTTGGCGAGTCACTACTCACTTCGACGTCAAGCTTGACCTCTCTCTTACTCTGCGTGTCGCCAGCAGAGAACTGATGGGTACTACAAAACTGGCTCTACTAGCTTTGAACTTCCCATCTTCATTCCCCCCCGATGATTCGGCTAGGGTATTTTCTCAGAATAACCCGATTAGAGACCATCCATTTCAGGTTCGAATGTCTGCGATGGGATCAATTCAAGGGAGCACCTTCGTGTGACTTGTTAACTGTCCTGGGAAGCAATGTCTCGTTTTATCCTTTGCGGAGCACTGCTTATTCCTATACCTCTCCAGTCGAAAGGAACATCAATGGGTCAAAATAACGATTTTGTAGAAAAAGAGGAAGTACTAGCGTGATAGTAACAATATGAATAAAAAAAGCAGAGCCCCCAGAGCATTTCTGAATGCCTAAAGATGATGGCTTTCTGAGGCCCATCCAATTGTAACCATTCTGATAAAAACAAGTCGTGGGAAAGATTTTCCTGTTCAGAGCGGAATGCTGTTCCTGGTACCGTTTTTGTTGGTGTTAACTGGTAGCAAACTTGGCCCAGCGCAAGCAAGCGATCTGGCCAGTTTTTCCGGACTGAAGCAGGAGAGTTTTTGCCGCAGCAAACTCGGCATTTTTGTAAGATAATTTATTCTAGCCTGTCTAGGGAAGTTAACGCTTGGGACCATATGCTCGTGAAGATTTGCTACAGCACACGCTAGTTACTTGAGTAGGGTGCATGGCGCATTTTCGATTGAACATGACGATGGTTTTGTTCATTTTTTAAAACAATAATCCAAAACCCCGATCTGGCAGCAAAGTAAAGGGAAGAGTAAATCGCGAGAAATCATTATTTGAATTCGGCAAAAGAAGACGATGCATCAGCAATCCCTAAAATATTTCAATATTTTCGTGTCAGCCGAAGGTTCATGCTCAATCTAAAACCTAAGAAGCCGCTTCAAGCCTAAGAACAGTAAAACTAGTTTTGACTGAATTCGTCATTATTAAAAAGTTGATACTTAGTAATACAATCAACGAAGACAGTTGCAAATATACTCAATAGCATGTTTTAATTTTCATAATTTTCTAACCCAGAATAGGATTATCTACCCTCCATTTCGGAAAGTGAGAACAACGTCGAGTGCAGACCACGCACTACAAGTTACGACGGCTGAAAAGAAAAGAGAAATCCACTCAGAGAAAAATCGGCTCCATCCCAAAAATACAATTTCTGGCTTCGTAGCCACTTGTGGTGGTATGTCGTGCACTCGACGTTTCTCGTTTTCGAAACAGGTGGTTAACTCGATTGTTCCGATTGCTACATCTTTCCTTCTATTTTATCAAACCACTCTAACGCCTACCGGCCCTGGCCTCAACTATAATCTGTGAAGCATATTTTGAGATATCGTTGGAGGGAGTGGGGGGGGGCGAAGAGGGGGTGAGGGTGTTGGGTTGGGGGTGGGGGGATGTCGTTGGAGCGGTTAATTGCTATTCGGCTACTTTTTAATTATTTACAGGCGAATCATTTTTGTAATGGAGGGTTTGAGTTGAAATTGCAAAAGCAGTTTGTCAACTCTTCTGGCCCACACATTTCCTTTTATGAAAGATCCCTTTCAGTCTACTCCAGCGAACCGCTCACCACATTGATAGCTTTTGACGCGTGATACGAAGCATGACGACAGCGATCAGGTAGTAATAGAAGATTCAAAAGAGCTAGAAATCTGATTAACAGAGGCAATTTCTTTCTAATTCGTGATTCATGGCATGTTAGACTCCTGCTGCACCCCCGTAAGGAGCCGATCAGCAGTAAGTTTCATTTCCGTTGATGGCCACTCATTTGAGTAGTCATTGGCAAGCAATCAGTAGAATGAGCTGGACAACGACAGCACGCCGTCGTGGGCCGCCGCGCGTCACGTTCGGAATTGCGGAAAACAAATTTTGCAAATGGAAGCTACGGTAATTAACACTTTGACGGCCCGCATTATCCTGATGAGGGTTGTCCGCTTCTTCCAAATTGGAAACTATTACGATGCTAGACATCCAGTACTGCAGTCAGCTCTCCAAGAAAGCCCCGAGCCACATTTTGAAGAGAAGCGTTTGGAAAATGATAAGATTAGCCCTACGATAGCTGGAATTGATATGGAAGAATCAGAAGGAAACCTGTTGGTACAGAAATCATGGAAATTTCAGAGTGGTGACATGAAAAAGAAAAACAGCAGGAATCGATAATGTCTCCGAAAGAATGATGTGGCCGGGAGAAAAAAGCAAAGGAAGGATAGTAAAGGCCAAGAAAACTCTACTCACCGGCCGCTTTTTGTGATAATCATTTCCGTGCCGAAGTTCGAAGAACTTCTCCCACAACTCGGCTCCTTCGAGGCGACATTCGATACCGTCAAGTTGATCGCCTCTTGCAGAGGTGGTCGACGTCGTGGAGCAGGTTGTAGTAGCTGTTGGTCGTGCAGCCTTTACCTCAGAAGTAGGAAAATCAGGGAGAAGGACATGGAGAACAGTCGGTGGATTCAGCTGGGCTGTGTCGTCCCTCGAGCAATGTGTCAATAGAGAATCGAGGCTCGTTTAGCACTGGAACATGAAGTAGAGCCAGAACAGCTGGGCTGCTCCAACTCTCGCTTCGTCGTCGTCGTCGTCGTCGTCGGCTGCTCCAGCTCGCGCTTCGCCATTGTTACTGATCTCGTTGGTGCGATTGGAGAAGCCGCTAAAATGGGGCGGGGCCAGCCAATGACGGCCGACGTCGCGCCCACTTTCAACACCAGCAAAAACCCAGAGCAGGTGAGAACGGGGGGAATACGGTAGTTCGCTGCTTCTCGCCAAATGAGAAACTTTGACTGGAGGTAGGAGGTAATCAGTAGATCAATAAGGTAAAACTGCTGAGGACTAGCCTCTTTTTCTAGCTAGCAGTCAGTTAAGGTTCAGGGTGGGAAACTAAACTGCTGTTGATTGATGATACGGATTCCAGAATGCGATATGGAGGTGTGATTATCCTTGCGTTCGACCGTAAGTGCTATTTTGTGGGCAATCGAATCATAACCGAAGTGAGAAATGTCGCACCAACGGCCCGTCGTCGTCTCGAGCCACCCCCTAATCCCTCGAGTAATCGCAGATAATCCGTTGCAAGACGACCGCTTTACCGCCATCGCATCAAAACACTCGCCAACTCTCTTCAAACTAAATCCACAACTGATGCCCTTTTGTGTGAGAGAGAAAACCACCAGCAAACTACCAACCATATGGTAATGACAAGGTGACCGTGTCCCCGCGCGTCTCACAGGAGGTGGCCCAGGGACGACCATAAAAGGAGGTGAAGACACAGCAGGTTGTATACACCAGCCGACTACCACTAAACCACGACGAATCAGCACCACTGATGGGCGACGAACGGGGCAGTTGGACTTCAGACGGACACCGCCAATGCATTCTTTCGTTCATGGACGTCTGGTTGGACGACCAGCCGACGGTGGGACATAAGGCCTTCCGACATTCTGCTAGCATGTTTCACTGGACCACTCAGATGCGTATCTGATGGCTGAATTAGCATGTCAGAAATGGATTTCGGCTGTGCGCGCGATGGCCGACGAGAGCGTCGGCGCAGGCGAAATGGCCGTGATGGTGGTGCGATAACGTCTCGCGGTTAGTGGGCGACAGCATGATGGAATACTTCCACTATTCACACTTGATCGTCACGAGATATGTCCGCCATGGCAAAAGGGTGCGAAAGCCAAAGGGGAATGGGGTCCTTTCACAGGACCCACCCTTCGTCCCTTTAGCGCCTGTCCTACTACTGATGTGACACCCGTGGAACAAGTTCATCAGCGACACGAAGAGCGCCGCATTCCTCTCACAACCCGGTCGAGGAGGTTTTCTGCGAATGATGGCACCTAATGCGCGGCGCATGATGTGATTTACGTACAATACGGATTCGCACGATGACGGTGGCGTAGATGATGATCCGCTTGCGGGTCGACTACGATACGGTAGTCGTGATTGTGCGCAATGCGATGCGCTGGGCCGTGCGTCCCGTTTTTGCCAGTGACAAGACGTGCGGCGGTGAGTTTACGAGCAGACGCACTCAAGAACACCGCGACGAAATGGACGATTCTCATAATTGGATGACACCCGACACGAGGTCGTTACGCCATAAAATATCATTTTATCACCTGATTCCAATTTCGCGCCGTGAACACCAGCCCTGATCGCGGGGTATTCCGCGCTCTGCGCACTCTGTACTAGTCGCGCCTAATCTCGATTACGGTCGGCGCTCATTTGCTGATGGAGACGGTCAAAAGCGGATCAGCACGCTCACACCGGGAAGTGCACCATTTTTCAGGCTTTAAGGTGGTGACCTAGAAGTTTTATGCCGTGAACAAGGGCATATTTAACCCATGTTGGCCATTTTTGGACATAGTATTAGATGTGTCGCGCTTTACCAGCGCTCCTTCTTTTAAATTCACTAAAAAGAAGCAATGGGTTTATCAGGAAGGGTTTATGAAATCTTAAGGGGTACAAACGTCAAAATAGCGCTTGAGCTGCTGGATACGAGTTGAATGCCACGAAAGGGACAAAGGTCCGATGCCTGATGGCTATTTACTCAGCTAGGGCTGCCGAAACCGATTCAAACTGTCAAATAAAACGATTCGATAGAAAACTTGATCAGTTGGGGAACTTCAGCTTGTTCTTCGTAAGATATTCACATTATGTGGAGATCGGGTGGGGTGAAATTGAAGCTCTGCGATGTTCTTGGAGTACCAGTTCACGAAATCAGAAGGAATAAATTGGCAGGGAAGCACTTCACAATGATTTAACATCGCTTCTCCTCACGTATCTTTGCTCTCGTTGTTAATTGACGTTCCCCTCCATCAAATTGTTTACTTTAATTGAATTTTTACCATTTATGGTTTACATTCCACGATTTGATTTCTTACTCCTCCCACGTGGCTTCAATGAATTTATTGACTAATGATACTGAAGGGATAGATATCTTGCCCATGCAGCTATAGGGGCTACATCGTATTTTTCCGGTTTGGGCCTGGTACTCGCCCTTAAAACTCGACTCTCCACATCCAGCGCTGCATATCGTAGCGGCTCACTATTTCATCCATCGTATTCACTTAGAAGCATAAAAGATAACATTGTTTATCTCCTCGCGTAAATCTCCAGTGCATCGTAGGTCGTCAGTTGTTTAAATGTCGCCAATTTTGGGCCCTACCAAGAATCTCCTGTCGTGTCTTGACACTCCAGTGGTCTTCCTTTAGAAGATCGCTACACTCTGTTCTTTCGGCTCTAGCGGGTCTGTCCTTCTCAATTCGTGATATACATAACGTCCAAGTTTCGCGGAGCGTTCGCGCTCTCTTTTTTGCCAGAAAAAAATCAATGGTGGCCTCGAAAAATTTTCTTTTGAATATCCTGATTCTTTCTTGAGGATATAAAAACACTAGAAAACATAGTATATCAATCTTTGGAGGGCGTTGCTCAAGCGAGAAAAAATAATGCACTAAAAATCGTTTCGGCGAACACTTTTGACCGCTACTGTAGATCTGAACACTTCCTCAGCTGGTCTACGCGAGGGTACACCGGGTTGAAACAGTCCACTGCTTTCACCCCAGTTCTGCTCAAGGAGCCATTTGAAGTTACGATAACTAATCCCTACGCCCTTCTTTCGTTTTTTATAAGTTGAACGGGTTTTGTGTTGAATGAAATGATTGTTCGAAGAAAAAGACACTTACCTAATGAATAACCAGGGCGAAGCCTAGGTGGGTAAGGAACTTTTGGTATAACGAAAATTGCTAAGACACTTTGGAGTCTGACCTCCTCCCCCTAAAGCCACTCCTGGCTAGTTACTAGGTCATTATTGCTTGTTCAACACTTTCGCGGTAAAAAAAAACTTCTGTGATTTTAAATGCTTTGCTTGCGATGCCTTCCTTCGATACATGGTCCTTCTAATGTAGGAATGGAATCCCGAGTCTGTCCATACCACGATTAGGCAAAGTCAGACGTGAGCGATCCAATCTCACAAGGTGCTCTCGCAGTCATCCGAAGCAGCGCAAACACGAACTGCTGCAGCTCAAGGGTAGTCCATCCAAGCTGACAACGCCGTCTAGCCCATTACGAAATGCTGTTATGCGCGCACACTCACTTTGAGCTCATAAACACCTACAGTATCCAGCCAGCTTTGGTGGTTTGCGTTCCGTGGCGTTGATCCGTGTCCATTTGTCACTTTTTCTCATCGCTGCTCAGAGCTTCGTTTCGGCTTTCCATTCCCATAAAGCGACAATTTGTAAGCTCAAGCGACTGATATATCTATTAAAATTAATCAAGACGAATGGCTCATACAAATGTCTGTCAGCCCACGACGGCAGCGCTCTCTGAGCTGTCGGGCGCCTGCGCCTCGTGCACGACTCTGCTGTCTGAGCAGCGCTCTGACAGGCCGACAAATGCGCGCGGATTTCGCGGATTTGAGGGCGCTCTGAATCAAGCAGCTAATGGTATTAGTGAGTAGATTGCGAACACTGATAATGCGAACACCCTCCCAGAGGGAATGTGAGCTCGCTGCGGGTGGTGGCTGTGTTGCTCGGAACGCGTTGGAGAACGGAGAAGACTATGTAAGAACTGCTTTTTGAATCTCAACATCTCGGCCCATTGACTTTGGCGACGAAGATGCCATGTCAACATTGTCATATGTCGTCCGTTCCCCGGGGATCAAAAAGACGGAAAAGTGTTAATTCGCCGATTCTGACGAGCGTTTTTGACACAATGGCCGCTTTTGGGACCATGGTGACGATTGTCGCCGCGAGCACTCGTCAAAAAAACCAACCCAACACGTCGCGGCTTCCACAGCTGCCTTCGGAAACCCGGGACTTAAATATGATTCTCATCTAATTGCTCTTGACAAGACCCATTATTTCTGGCTCTTTTTACCTTCGTAAAATATCCTTAAAGAGCAGGTTTTTTGACAAATCCGAGGAATCACCTAAAGAACACATGCTGCAATTTTCTTATCGAAAGAATTCTTTCCAGAAAGACGTTGCTACCTCAGTAACCCCAAAGGCGGTGCAAGTTTAGAGACTCGCATCTCTTGGTAGAGGTTGGGATTAGATCCTGACAACTTCCATCCATGCAACTTGCATTTATGGACACCTGCAAATCACGTCCGTCGTTATGCGTTGGTGTCTACGTCTCTCTTGTCCCTATGCTCTCTCATCTTTGAGTCTGGTCTTTCGGCTCCATTCAGTGTTTCTTTGACTGTTTGTATCTGTATATTTGTGATACCTGCGCTTCCTTCCCCTGTAGAAGATTCAAGTCGCACTTTTAATGGGATTATATTATATTTCCGAGTGCAATAGTCTCACTTGTCTGGACGAAGAGTGTGCCTTTAGGTTTGTTCAGAGTTACGACGCAGGTGGTAGGCAACTAGACTATTAGGGAAGGTTACGTATCGACCAGGTAAATAGGCGAGTGGGCGACGAGACGATAGCTCACGT